AGGAAGACCCAGGACACGCTGGAGAGACTATGTTTCTCGGCTGGCCTGGGAACGCCTCGGGATTCTCCCGGAGGAACTGGACCAAGTGGCTGGGGAGAGGGAAGTCTGGGCCTCCTTACTTAGGCTGCTACCTCTGCGACCCAACCCCGGATAAGCGGAAGAAAATGGATGGATGGATGGATGGGTTGAATGTCCATTCTCACCTTTCTAAAATCAATGATTACTAACTCCTTCGTCTTTGATGTATCCAGATGTAGATTGTTGTCTTTGCACCACATTGACAGCCGTTCCACCTCGTTTCGGTAGGCTGTCTCGCTGTCTTTGGAGATGAGTCCCAGAATGGCGTATCATTCGCAAATTTTACTATGGTGTTACTGGTGTGAGCAATGGTGCAGTCATGGGTGTAGAGTAGGGGACTCAGCACACAGCCCTGAGGAGAGCCTGTGCTGAGGCTAATGGGTGTAGAGGTATGAGGTCCTACTCTAGCCTCGTGTTTGCGTCCCGTGAGGAAGTCTTTGATTCATAGAGAGGTGTGATATGGCAGACCCAGGTCCAATATTTTGCACATCAGTCTGTGGGGGATGATGGTGTTAAAGGCAGAGCTATAATCCACAAAAAGGAGCCAGGCATAGGTACCTTGTTGCTCCAAGTGGTTTAAGGTTGTGTGAAGGGCAGTAACCACTGCATCCTCTGTAGACCTGCCAGTCCTGTATGCAAACTGGTACGGGTCATTTCATTTCGGGTCATGTGATTTCTAACCAGTTTCTCAAAGCACTTCATTACCACCAGAGTTAGTGCAACTGGACGGTAGTCATTTAGGCTGGTGATCTGTGATGTCTTTGGTAGCGGGACCATGGTTGTGGATTTTAGACTGGCTGGAATGATCACCTGTGAAAGTGATCTGTTAAAGATCTCCGTGAAAATCCCAGCAAGTTGATCAACGCAGTCTTTCAACACCCACCTGGTGACACCATCAGGGCCTGCAGCCTTTTTTGGGTTGAAAGACTTTAGCGTGCGCCTTACCACATCTTCAGCCACAGTCAGGGTAAAACCCATGTTACTGCTGACCACTAGGTGCTGCAAGATGTTGTCCTGCGTCTCCTCGAAGCGCGCAAAGAAAACGTTTAGCTCCTCTGTCAGTGTAACGTCGCCTTCTGTTGTCCCACGGCTGTTCTTAAAGTTTGTGAGGTGCTGTACTGCCTGCCAGACTTG